ACTTTTATGGTTAACATATAAAAAGCTGTCTCTTTTTCACAGAACTTTACAATCTCAAGTATTTATATACTTGCAAAAAAATTCATTGAAACTATTTTTTTCTAATTCATTATCATTTGAGAAACATCTACATCTATCTCAAGATCCATATGCATGATGCTTTTCCTTCAATATCTATAAGTTTTTCATGCACCGTATATTCAAGCTCTTCAGGTTCTATAACTTTCTTTTTTCTTGCAAATGTTGTTTAAAGTTTGATCTTTCAATTATGAGGGTTAAACACTCAAAGCATATTTTTTGATTATTTTGAAATGCAAAATGGGTTTTGACAGGATGAACAACGATGCGTAAAATGCTTATTTTCCATTTTAGCAAATTACGGTAAAATCAAAGAAATAAAAATTTGGATATAAATTATTATTATTATTTTTATTATTGTACGCATTACTAATTAAATATTATCATTATCATTATTGTCATCATATTTCATATAATAAAATATCAGTACGTACATGATTTTGGTGGCGATACTAAGTGGGTCAGAAATGGGTCTTGTCGGGAAAAAGGGTTATCGGAATTATGGGGTCGGAGAAATAGCATCTCAGGAAAGGACTTCGGGAAAGTGAGCAACAATGTAGAATGAGTTATGTTAGAGATATCTACTGCAAATATGAATTACAACTTTAATATAACGTAAGTAAGATTGCAACTTATCGCCGAATTTTATATTAAAAGGTCAAAAGTGTTGCAAATTATAAAAATGTCAAAATCACAATATACTATATTTTATAAAATAGTATGAGATAATTAGATTTTAAATTATGCGTATGTCTACATGTGTATTTATGATACTAATTTTGCTATTCATTTTATTTATAACAATAATAACATAGACTTTTGACCCTGTGACTCTGAGAACTTGCATCATTTTGCAATAAAAGAGTATATGCAAAGTTTGCAACAAAATCTAACGAGACGCAGAATCGCGACCTTGCAGCAGGCACCCCTAATAAAATATAAAATATACCACCGAGTTTATATATAATTTAAAAAGTAAACTTTTCCTTAAATTTATGATGACAATCTGAACAATCCAAATAATCCTTTATGTCATAAGCTAATATATTATTTGTAAATTCTGTTAATTCTATCAGAATGTACCTTTACATTTCTTTAGGTACTACGCCAATTTTATCCCATTTTAGACAATCCCGGTCAGTTTCGTTCAATTCTTTGATTTCACCATTTGTACCAACTCTCATTGCAATAAATGAGGGTGAAATAGAAATAGAGGGAGATGCTACCTCTTCATTAAGAAGATCATTCATGGAAGTATTACTGTTATCCTCTATAGAAGTGACACATTTTATAAAATCACAACAGCGTTCAAACGCTACTTGAGAAGATTTAGAAAAAGTGAACATCTGTATAATTGATCATTTATAAAAAAATTTATTAAGTATTAAAATACCATGTAACGTATTTGCAACAAAAAAAAAACAATATTCCAGATATTATTTTACTTACGTGCCAGACATGAGGCATATCATCATAAACTTCAAGTATAACTTTAGTAGGCTTCTTAAAAGGTGACTTATCAAAATTTTTAGTTGCATATGAAGGTAATTGATATTTATGAGGGTCTGTCGCTTTATGACTAAATAATACTACTTCGTCACGAAACCTTTCAACTCCTCCAACTTGCTTTAATTGTGGTATAAGTTAGTTATATTTCATTATAAGTAATAAACTTATTATAAAAGATAATTATTACAAAAAGTAACTTACACATAAGATAGGTGGTAAATCTCCCAAAGACTCTGCAAGCATAGGACTAGAATCAAGTATGATGGAGTATAATAAGGTTAGATTATTCACCTAAATAAATTACTTAACAGTTAGATAAAAAGAAGCATTTACCTAACATAAGAAATAGCTAATGCTTCATTAGCACAATAAAATTGAAAACGAGGTACTTCTGTGAAAGAGGGATGACCGACGATGATAGGCTTTTTTTGGGAAATTTTATCGGATAGAGCCTTAACATTAGCATTATATTCGTCCATGATGGGTGATGATGGCCAAACTTTGTGTGTGTTAAATATTATATCTACAACCTCGGCCTTATTTATTTCAGCATCCCAAAAAGATGGCATACTATGAGTTAAGTCTAGCTATTTAGAAAACATTAAAAACAAGTTAGTTTTTATTGATTTGAAATTGATTCTCGAATAAATACATACCAATGGCGACTTGAAGTGTTATGCAAATAAATGATGTGTAAATATGTAAATATGATAAAAATTCAATTATTTATTTAACGCTCACCATTCCAATCGCACCACCTGGTAAAGGTAGTCCCGCATCTCTTAAAAATAAGAGTGTTCCAAGTACTAAACCGCCTCCTGCACTCTCTCCCGCAAATACAATTCTTTTAGGATTAATCGGTTTAAATCCAGCACCTGGCTCAGGATTTATAAGATAAAGATATGCGGCAACTGAATCACAAAGAGCAGCAGGAAATTGATTTTCTGGCGCGAGACGATAATTAAATGCTAATTTAATAAGATTTAGTAAGAATTAGTTACGATATCAACAATCAAAAGTATTATTAATCTGTGTAACTTACAAAAAACTTGTGCTTTAGCATTTTCTGCGAATTGAAATGTAAAAGTTCTACCATTTTTAGCTGAGCCCATACAATATGCGCCGCCATGCATATGGAGTACTACTTTATCAATTTCATTATTTCTACATTCTCCCTCTTCTTTAGTATATATCCATTCTCCACATATTCTATCCTTTGGTTCTTTCCATTTCTCGTCTAACACATCTTCATATTGTTTTAAAACTTTCTCTAAATGTATTCTGCTCTTTTGCCTATACAGTTCATCTAATATAACTTCCTTTATAATTATATTAGAAGGAACCGTATTGAATCTAGTAGATTCGATAGATTGAGATTGAGTTCGATCAGTAATAAATTTCTCTATGTTGATATGGTTCCTAATCGTTGTCACTGCTATATGGAATTTTAAATCCCATGATTTTACAGGTGGACCTTCAGTATAGTGTTTAAATATGGTCGTAAATAATAAAGAGAGAGACTGTAGGAGTGACATTTTTTTTTTTTGGAATTATTTACTTAGAGAATCAAGGAAAACGAACAACCATA